TTCGTCTCCCCCCCCGGCCCCCTGCCTTCCCGTCCCACCCACGCTCCAGCCCCGCCGCATCCTCCTCACCCCCGTCGTGAGATGCTGGAAGCGGCCTGGCTGGGAAACTGGGAAACCCCCCCCATACCAGCAGCTCTTGGGTGCTTGCTCCAGCTTCATCACCCCGAATAACCCTGCCGGGATCCAGCCGTTCCCACCTACCCGCCGTGTCCCTCGTGCCAAACCGTTCCCAAACTCGGACGTGCCAGGCCTGATCCTGCCCCCCAGCAGCTGATCCAGGCCCCCAGCAACCCCCGAGCCGCGGGAGGGTCACGGAGGGGAAACGCCAAACGGGGGGGATCTTCGGGAGAGGGAAACTGGGGGCTGCCAGGCAGCTCCGCTGGTGGTACCATCGTCCCTGATGCTGGAGGGCCCAGCCAGAAACGGTCCCGCAGAGCCCAGCGTGTCCCAAAGCCACACCAGAGGCAGGGGAAAAGAGGAAGAAGCCCTGCCCTGGATGCAGGAGGAAGGGCCTGTCTGGCGCCCCGCGGAGCATCCCTGGGAGCGGGCTTCAGTTCGGGCTTTGTTTCCATCCCTGGATCCCATGTGGCGGCCGCTGCAAGGGATTTACATGAAAGGCACTGGAGAGAGGAGGGGAATGCGGGCAGAGCGAGCCCCGGGGAAGGGCTGAAGGGAGGAGAACGCCGCTTCAGCTGAGCTCTTGGGGCTGATTTGGGAGGCTGGTCACTGGATCCCCGCACAGGGCAGTGCTGGGGAGAGGTACTGAGAGCTCAGCACCTCCGGGGACACTGAACCCCTCGGCACGGCCAGCCCTCGCCCCCTCACGTGGGGTTCTTCCCGTGCCCCCAGTTTTACAAAACTTTCCCACTTTTTCCTTAATTTAAACACCCCGCCCAGCACAAGGTCCCCAGGAGGGGAGAGGGAGGAGGCAGGCAGAGGGCTTACCTGCAGAGAGAGAGGTGCTGGTGCTGCCTGCAGCCTGTCGCAGCCAGCTTTCATCAAGGCAATTAGCGTGATCAGGCAGTTGTTAGGACCTAGAGGGATGAAGCACATGGTTGCAGTCCCCATCCTACTGCTGGGAACGTGCCGCCACCTCTACTGGGACCTGCTGGGGATGTGCCACCACCTCACCGGGACCTGCTGGGGGTGTGCCACCACCTCACCGGGACCGGTGGGATGCAGGCTGACCCCGGTCGTGCGGGCACATGCCGTCGTTGGCGCTCCCGGCAGCACGGAGGAGCCGCGTGCCGGCCCTGCCCAGGCACACGCTCGTGGCCTGGGGTTTCCCGGGAACAGCCCCATCGTTGCTTGGGGATTTACTGCCCCGGCAGGCACCGCGCGCCCGCCCGCTCGGGAAGGCCGGTCTTTGGTGCAGCCATGTGAGCCACCGCATCCATCCCTCCGAGCTTGCCCCTGCAGCTCATCTGCCAGCCACTGTGCCCCTGGCAGGTCCAGTGCTGGGACAGTTGGCTCAATAGTGCAAAACCCCCGCCCCAAGCCCCTTTTAATCTGCCCTCACACGGTCTTGCTGCTGCTACTGGAGTCTGTAGTGATCCCAAACATGGGCGCATCCTGGGACCAGGCAAGTGAGTAGCCAAAACTGCGGCCGAGGGAGGCGGGCGGGAGTCTGGTGGGTGGCCAAGCGCCAGGTGATGAAGTGGCCAAGCCCGAGGACTCCTGGGTTCTGTCCTGGGATCTGGGAATGACCCAGGCGATAAAGGTAGGATGGCCAAGGTGCCGGTGTTCATTCTCAGCTCCTGGCACACTGATTCCAGGGCAGCTGTCCCATCTGTGCCTCGGTTTCCCCACGCCCTGGACAGCAGCACGGTGTGGTGGGACCCTGCAGCCAGCCATGCCTGTCCCCCGCTGCGCTGCCACGGCCAGGGTCGGGTCAGCCGCCGGACAGCCCGGGAAGGGGCAGCTCGCCGGGCAGCAGCCCACGTCACGTGGAGGGAAGGCTTCCCAGCCCAAACCGCAAGCCAGCACAGGCTAGAAAGCGTCTGAGATCCGCCTGGGCTGACGCAGCACCGCCAGCGCTCGGGGTCCCGGCCCCGGCCAGCACGGCTCGGCAGCTGGGAGGGCAGAGCTGTGTGGGAGCTTGTTTTGCAACCCCAGTTCAGCTCAGCAGCGGGAAAGCACAAAGAGCGGGGACCAGGCTGCCCGGGCACGTCCAACCTGCAGCGGCAGCTCTTGCCTCCGCGCGCCGTAGGGAGCCGCGCCGCGCAGGGCACCCGCTTCCCCAGGAGCTGCGAACGCCCCCTTCAAAGCTGGGGCTGGGTTTTACTGCTTGAGAAGCCTCATTCCCCCAGGGCAGGAGAGGAAGAGGTGAAGGAGATGGAGAATGGGAACTTTGGGTTCCTTTTCTTTACCTGGTGCTCTGCAGCTTGTGAGGGTCCTTGAGTCTCGCCTCCTCCGCACGCTCGGTGCGGGAACTGAATGAAAGGGGCCGTCACGTTGCTCTGAGCGACCTGGTCCAGCTGACGATGGCCCTGCTCACGGCAGGGGTTGGACTCGATGGCCTTTAAAGGTCCCTTCCAACCCAAACCAGTCCGTGCTTCTGTGTTTCCCGAAGAGCTGGGATGAGCAAGACTCGCTTCTGCCAGGGATCATAGCAGGTCAAGATGAGATTTAAGCTGTCTAATTCACAAAAACAGATTTTTGACAGAACTTGGATCCACCCAGCCTCCCACCACCTAACTCCATCCCAGCACAGCAGAGACAGTCAGTGTCTGCATCCCGGCGATACCCATCCCCCCACCAGCTCCGGGACCAGGGCAGCTCAGGGTTATTCTCTACCCCGCGACGCGGCTGCGAGCGCCCTGCCCCTGAGGAGCCGGGCCGACGGCGGCCGCCCTGTGCCCGCACCCCGCCGGCCGGAGTCGAGCCGCGCACGCCGCCCTCGCCTGCCCGCCTTGACGCGGGGACGCCCGGGTGTTTCTGTTCCAGCTCAAAGCCCAGGCGCCGGGGAGCGCGGAGGAGCTGCGGTGCCTGCAGGTGATCAATCAGCAGCAGGAGGGCTCCAGCCTGGAGGAGCTGATTGGCAACCAGTCCTGCCTCAAGCTGGCCAACACCATCAAAGCCTACGTGGCCACGGTGAGCCTGGACCCGCCAGCTTTGGGGACCAGGGGAGGATGGGACAGCCGATGGGAGAGCTCCTGTCTGCCTCCCTGCCTCAGTTTCCCCACCCGCCTCACCGGAGGGGTGGCAGAGAGCAATCGCAAGGATGGTTTGAGGGGGGCGGAGGAGTGGGGCTGGACGCCAGGCCCTCCGCAGCGAGGAGCTGGCAGGGCCCAGAGCCATGGCGTGAAAGACAAGGTCGGGAAGGCTTGGAAGAGACGAGAGGAGCTGGGGCGCGGGGAACGCCCGTTTCACCGTTAACCGTGGGCCTGTTTCTCTTCTCTGATGGTCCAGGTGACGGAGAACGTTATCCGCAGGAGCGCGATGAAGGGTGAGTCCCTCCTGGCCCGGCAGTGGAGGTGGCAGCCGGGGTGCCGCTCGCCGGCACGGCAAAGCATCAGCAACCCGTTTGCTGGGGCCGGGTTGCAGATGGACAGACGGAGCTGCGGTCCACGTGCGCACGGCTCGGTGTGCGGCCGGGGATGCCAGCGGGCCGGGGGGGCTCGGTCGCTCCCAGGGCAAACTCCGCCGGGCACGGCGCTGCGAGCTGGGGCAGAGAGGGGAGAGCAAGGGCTGTCCCGCTGGGCGGGTGAAGGGCATATGTCCCCAGGGAATGGGTTGGACGGACGGCCGTGTCTGTCTGTCTGGAGCCTGGGGAACCAGGGCCACAGGGGACAGCAGAGAAATGTCAGATAATGATTGACTAGACCTTTCCATCCCCAAATAACCTCCCTCTTTGATGGGTCACTGGGGCATTTCCCTGCCCTGCTCGCTCTGCTTGCGCAGTGAGGAGCCGCTCTGCCGGCGCGGGGCTGGGGGTCCCCCGGCGCTCTGTCCCCTACGGCCACGTGTCCCATTTCTCGCAGAGGCCCGGCGGAGCTACTTCAACGCCTCGGAGGGGCAGGTTCCTCCCAAAACGGCCGGCAAGCCCTCGGCACATCTCACCCTCCGCCCGCAGAGCCTGGCCCAGGACGGTGAGTCGGGCAGCCCCGCTGGGCACCAGAGGGTTTCTGAGATGGGAACAGGGGGAAGATCTCACCTGAATGGCAGGGGACCAGGATGGGGGGATGTTTCTCCTGTCGGGTCCAGGACCGCCTTCTCCACACCTCCAAGCTGGGTGACCGCGGGAGAGGCTTAGAGCCACCCCATCCCTTTCTCCAGAGCCCGACGGGTGCTCCCCAGAGCATCTCGCTCCCCTCGGTGACCCTTCCTTCTCCCCAGGGAACTCCAAGCGCTTCGGGAACCTCTCCCAGTCCTGCCGCCACGCCATCGCCCGCTGGGAAGACAGCACCATCCACTCGCACCTGCAGAACATCACCTACCGGGATGGCCGGCTGCGGGTCAACCAGGCGGGCAAGTACTACGTCTACTCCCAGATCTACTTCCGCTACCCCAGCGACGGGGCCAGCGCCCGCGTCTCCGTCCCCCAGCTCGTCCAGTGCATCAACTGGAAGACCTCCTACAGCCAGCCCATCCTCCTGCTCAAAGGGGTCGGCACCAAGTGCTGGGCGCCCGAAGCGGACTACGGGCTCCACGCTCTCTACCAGGGGGGACTGTTTGAGCTGAAGGCCGGCGATGAGCTCTTTGTCTCCGTCTCCTCCTTGGCCATCGACTACAACGACGCAGCAGCCAGCTACTTCGGGGCCTTCCGGCTGGACCTGTGACAGCCGCCTCCGCCTCCCCCCTTCCCGCTGCTCCTGCCCACCGATGCTCCGGCATGGCCCCGGGGCAGCAGCCGTTCAAACAGGACAAGAGCCGAATCCGTGCTCGGTGCTGCACGGGGCCGTGCCATCCAGCCGGAGGAAGGCCACGAGCCAGGAAGGGTCTCCAGGGGCACGCACGAGGGGGGACATCCCAGCCCTGGTGGCACATCACCTCCCTGGCTCCTGTCTGAGCAAACAGAGCTGGAGAGGCACCGGGGTCACATCTGCAACCGCAAGACAAAGCGTCCCCGTGGCGGGATGGCCCTCGGCGAGTCTGACCCCACGTCTGGCAGGGACAGACCCAGCCAGGCTGTGGGCGCACGGGGACCCCGAGCTGGAGGCGCTGGGCCAGAAGCCGGGGTTAGCAGGGAGCAGCGGCACGGCGGGCGCAGGGCTGGCAGCCCCGGGGCCAAGCGCTGGGGCCAGCCTGCAGGTACGAGGCAGGGCCGGCATCGGCTTCTGGCAAGGAGTGAAGGAGTTTCAGTTCCGGCTAATTGGAAACCTGGAGCGATTCCAAGGAATTGGTTTCAGGGGAGGTCAAAGAGCAGGACCATGAAGGTGGAGTAATCACCAGCCCAAGCAACCGCACCTAGGCACGTGGCAGAGAGGGGCATTTTGCCCGAGCCGAGCTGCACAGGACCATCCGGCCCAGGAGCTTGCCATCGCACCCCTTCACTCCTGACCAAGCATCTCTTTCCGTGGGGTTCTTGGTCCCCCCAGCCCTGTTGGGCCAGCGCAGCCGCCCGCTTGCTCACATCTTCAGCCCCGGCAATCGTTAACCTGCAGGATTTCAGCTCCTGGGTGAGCCCCGGCGGCAGCAGCACAGGACCGGGAGGGCCACGGCCAACCCTCAGTGTTAAAGGCCGTGCCAGATGCAAAAGGTGGGTTCAAGCAGGGCAGAGCGTGGCTCGGCCCACGGACGCTGGGGGGGACGCAGCCCCCTTTTGTAATTACCTGTATCCTCTCTGTATCATAGCAAGACTGTTGGTGTGTACGGACAGGACGGCAGCGCAGGCTGCCGCGGCGGGGGGAGCCCCCCGTGCCGGCACAGCGGCGGGGGGCTCTCAGTGCTGGTTTAAATAAAGCCTGTACTCCAGCACTGGTCTGGCACCTCTTTGCCTCAGGCACCCCAGGCAACGCACCCCGGGCCTCTGAGCAGCCACGGTGCTGTGCAAACCAGGCGTTTTGAGGTCTGGGCCGGTTCCCACGCTCCGCTGGCGCACGCTGCAGCTCCCCTGGGCACCCCACTCGCTGCAGCTCAGCCTCATCTGCCCCCTTTCCCTGCCCCGGCCCCAGCCCAGAGGCTGGCTGCAAGCGGGGCTCTGCACGGGGCAGAGCAGGGGGGCAGCCTCTGCCCAGCCGCCTGCAGCCTCCCCCGTGCTCCCACACTGGCCTGAGGCGGGTCCTGCCGCACCAGCCCGGTGGTGCTGGGGTGCGAGCTCTGGCCCCGAGAGCCGCAGACAGAGCCCAGCGAAGGCCGCCGGCAATAACTGGGTCCTGCCTCATCTTGCACCTGGAGCGCCTCGAAGGGCTCCACCGCCGCCTCTCCCCCACGGGGCATTCCCAGGGAGACGCTCCCGCTGCCTTCATCTCCCCTGGGAGATGCTCCCAGGGGCTGCTCTGGCACCAGCTCCGGCAGAGCCCATCCCAGGGCCTGAGCCTGGCCCTGCTCCTCTTCCTCCCTGGCTCCCATCAGCTCTGGGGGCTACCTCTGGCCCCGCTGCCCCGGGGGATCCCAGTGCTGCTCCTCCTCTCCCCACTCTGGGGCTGCCAAGCCCAGCCCGAGGCACAGCCAAACCCTGGGGAGCCAAGATGGGCTTGTTCCCCGTCACGCCGGGGCCGGGCAGGGGCTGCTCCTTGCTCCTGCTCTCCATCCCACAGCTTTCCAGGCCTGAGGCCCGTCTCTTTGCAGCCTTGGCCGGGCTGGGAGCCAGTGCCAGCCTGGGCCAGGTGGCTCCCGTGTCCCCCCACCCGCAGATGCTGGCCATGGCCACTCACCAGACCCCAGCTCCTGCAGGCTCCTGCTCCAGCGAGGCCCATACCAAAAGCCCCCCAGGGGCACGGTGTGGCCCCGTCCCCCCGCACACCAGCCCCAAAGGCAGGGGCAGCTTTCCCAGCTCATCCAAAGCCTCCCAGGCAGAGAGCGCCGTGCGCCATCCCGGCGCCTGCAGAAGGGGCGACACGGCTGCTCCCTGCTCCGGGCAGGGCTGCGGGGTCCTGCTCCCCCCGGCCACCCCCGTGCTGGCCCCAGTGCCCCGGCCCCACGCAGGGAGGCAGGGCTCGGCTCTGGGGCGCGCTCGGCCCCAACCGGCGTGGTGTGCTCTTGCCCAACCGAAACAAAACCCGAGAGCACACAGCGCAGCCGGGCCCCCCCGCGATATCGCTTAGCAAAGCCCCCCAAGCCCCTCCCTTCCAAAACCACCTTTGAAATGGTCCCTTTTTCTTCCACCTCTCGGTCCTTCCTCCTGTTTTCTCAGCCTCCTCGGTGACCAACAGCAGGGATCGGGCTCCCGGGGCTCTTAAAATCCTCATCGGCCTGAAACCTTGCCCCTGGGGAGCACCGAGCTCATCCTGGCTCCTGGCCTTTGGCAGCAGCTGTGGGAGCTCAGGGTTGAACCAGACAACCCGGGGCTGCAGGAAACGGAGCAGGTGGGTCCAAGTTTTTCTTTGAAATAGAGTTTAAAGCAGCTCCCGGCCTGGCGGAGCGGGTGGGGGGTTGCCGTTTGCCACGCAGGTAAAGCAGCCCCTTGCGTGCGCTGGGAGAGCCGGGCTCAGCGCCAGCGGGGCGACGGGTCGCTCCGCTTTCCTGGAAGGGAGAAAAACTTGTGGGTGGATGTTTTTGGAGAAGACAAACTCCACGAGCATCAGGCCAACCGGCAGCCTCGCCAAGCCGGGCGAGAGCCGAGGGGCACCGGGCAACGGGGCGGGACAGACTGGGGGAAGGAGGTGGCAGGGCAGGGTGCAGGCTGGCACAGCCCGCGTTCGCTCTCCAGGTCCTGGCTCTGCAGCTTTTCCAGGTCTCCTGCTCTGTTGTAGGGAACGGCCCCAGCATGCCGGCACCCGGCGAGGGTGCGCCAGGAGAGTCACCGGGTCCTGACTCTTCATCTCTCCCCCTGTGACACCTCCCCTCTCACAGCACCCTCACCCGGCCCCGGTGTGAGCTTAGCAGAGGCTTAACGCAAAAAAAACAAGAGGCTGAGAAAAGCAAAACAAAACAATCTGGGGAATTCGATGCCCATTTGACATGCGCCAAACTGGAAGACGGTTTTCAGTTTCCCAAACTAATTTGAAATGTAACAACAAGCAGCAAAGGGAGGCAAAACCCTCTCGCGCCCGCACAGCAGGCATGGGAGAGCCTCCTGCTCCGGCGCATCCCGCCCCGGCCCCCGCACGGACTCTGGTCCCGTTCCCGCAGCCACGCTGCTGTTCCCGGCCCCAGGCAAGGCCGCCTCACTGCGTGCTTGTACAAAAGGTTTTCTAAGTTTGATGCTAATGGCAAGTCCTGAAGGCTGGACAAGATCAACCCAACGGCCACCTGTGCAGCATCCTCAGAAATCGAGCATTTCATTTTAGGGAGGGACTGCAAGAAGAGCCTGGCTCGTGCCCGTCTCCCAGCTGAGAGCTCGCTGACACAACATTACGCAAAGAGGTTTTTTCAGGAATACATGCAGAACAGCCCGGAGGTGCGAAGAGGACGGGGAGTCTTGAAACAAGGGGGTTTGGAGTCACAGCCGTAACCTGCTCGCCCTCACCGCCTGCGTTTGCTGCAGCCGCTGGGGATGGAGAAAGCAGATGGAGCTGGGCAAGCACCGAGAGCGCAGGCAGGCGCTACTCAATTCTTCACCAGGAGACCTGGTCACTCATTAAGCCTCTCTGCCTCAGTTTCCCCACTTGTACGAGATGCCTGCGGACACCTGTCTTTGCAAAAGGCTCCAAGACACGCAGGTAAGAGCACACTGGAGGAGCCCAGGGCTCAGCCTCCTACGTCTCAGGGTGGATTTCTGGTGGCACAGACACCACCAGGCAACGACCTTGAGCCACTCATAGAATCATTTAGGTTGGAAAAGACCCTTAAGATCATCGAGTCCAACCGTTAACCCAGCACTGCCAAGGCCACCACTAAACCATGTCCCCAGGCACCACATCTCCCCAGCTTTTAAATCCCCCCAGGGATGGGGACTCAGCCAGAAGTTTTTCCCAATACCCAACCCAAACCTGCCCTGGCGCAGCTTGAGGCCGTTCCCTCTCGTCCCATCGCTTGTTCCTGGGGAGAAGAGACCGACCCCCCCGGCTCCAGCCTCCTTTCAGGCAGTTGCAGAGAGCGATGAGGGCTCCCCTCAGCCTCCTCTTCTCCACTCGCTGTCATGGATTTTACACCAAGGAGTCTCTCTGTGTGTATACATACATACAGAGCATTTGGCCCCTAGTAGTGTACAAAACATCACTTGCCCGCGGCCCAGTTGCTTTGCCCTGCGGTGATGCCTCACCGCGGCTGCCAGGGCAGCGCGGATGCCATGGGGCAGGCGGGTGCCGGGCTGCCTGCCCGCGCTGCCCAAGGAACACGTGGTTTCGGGGAAGAGGATCGGTGCTAAACCTCGCTGCCGGTTGCAAAACTACTCCCAAAGTGAAGAAAAGGAGTTGGCCTTTCCCGCGCCGAAGGCGGCACGGATCAGCCCGTGCGCTTGGCGGGGGCCTTTCCTGGGCCTCTGCCAGCACCGCGCCCGTCAAGCGCAGAACCACACAGAAAAAAGGAAAAAAAAAGTATCAACTGAAAGCAAAAGCCATTCCAGCTCCCCGGTGCTCGGCCCCGTCCCGCAGGTGACGGCTCAGACACCTCCCTGCCCTTTCTGCCGCTTTAAAGGAGACCGGGGGGGCGACGACAGCTCTAATAACATTTTCAGGTTGACCTTATTTCTCGTGGCTTCATTGCGTTGCTTTGATCCAGACACACGCTGTTTCCTTGTAGTCGCTGCCAAAGGAGCCTCTTATCTTCGCCAC